TAAGCATTGATCAGATCCCCCCTCAGCCTTCTCTTCTCCAGACTAAAAAGACCCAAGTCCCTCAGCCTCTCCTCCTAAGGGAGATGCTCCAGGCCCCTCATCATCTTTGCAGCCTCTGCTGGACCCTCTCCAGCAGTTCCCTGTCCTTCTGGAACTGGGGAGCCCAGAACTGGACCCAGTGCTCCAGCTGGGGCCTCCCCAGGGCAGAGCAGAGGGGCAGGATGACCTCCCTCCACCTGCTGCTCACACTCTTCCTGATGCCCCCCAGGATGGCATTGGCCTTCTTGGCCACAAGGGCCCATTGCTGGCTCATGGCCATCCTCTTGTCCACCAGGACTCCCAGGTCTTTCTCCTCAGAGCTGCTCTCCAGCAGGTCACCCCCAACTGTGCCCTTGATGTTGGTGCAGAGGGAGAGAGAGGGATTGGGAAGAAGGAACTGATGTTTCTTGCAGGTTTATGTCAGACCAAGCTTTACACCAGCCAGCAGTTCCCCACGAGGCTGTGGGCAGGGTAGCATCCCTTCAGCACAGCTACTCATGGAGTATCCCAGCACTTCCCAAGGTTTTTTATGAGATCCCAATCCTATCAGTGTCGTGCTAAGGCATGCCTGGTCCTTCAGGAAAGAATTAACAGAGCATCAGACACGAGGAAGACAATGCTTCCCATATGTCTTGGAATTTGGATGCGTGTCCTTGTTTTCTTTGCTTCTGTGAAAGACAAGGATCCCATTGGGGAAGCGTTAGTGCAGCTTCTAGCGAGGCTTTTTTTTGTGATTTATGCTAATGGTAGGAGAAAGGAGGGGAAAGCTAAATGATTTTGAGGTGTGGGCTTCGGCTGATGAGGCCTCAGAGCGAGTGGGTAATTGGGAAGGACAGCAGGCTGGCTCAGTCTGTCACTTCCCTGGCTTCTTCCTGGAGATCAGCGAAGCGTTACGGAAAGGGGCACGTTTGTTTGAAAGCCAAACAGACCCCTTCACTTAAGATGAGTCAGAGGGTACTTGGGGTTTATTAGCCTTGGGATTTATTACATTTCCTGTCAGCGTGGGGTTGCCCTGCCCTTGTCAGCAGCTGGTGATGGGTCCTTTTTTCGTGGACCTTGCCTCTTCTCAGATGTCTGCTTGGTGCTGCTGGCAGCTTCTGGTATCTTGCTGCTGGCTTGCTGGTTTATTGCAAGAAAGAAGTAGTAGCAGGCCAGCAACCCCCACAGCAGTTGTATTTGTCCCCCCTCTGCTGTGTGCTTCTCTCATTTAAGGTCTCCTGATGAGGCCCAGAGGGATGGTTGTTACCGTATGTATCGTGGTAGGACCCAGGCGTGGGTGTCCTTAGAATAATCATAGAATCATAGAATCATAGAATGGTCTAGGTTGGAAGAGACCCTTGGGATCATCGAGTCCAACCATCTCCCCTACTCTACAAAGTCCTCCCCTACACCATGTCCCTCAGCACTGCATCTAAACGACCCTTAAACACATCCAGGGATGGTGACTCCACCCCCTCCCTGGGCAGCCTGTTCCAATGCCCGACCACTCTTCGGGTGAAAAATTCCTTCCTAATGTTCAGTCAAAACCTCCCCTGTTGGAGCTTGAAGCCATTCCCTCTCGTTCTGTCACTAATTACCTGTGAGAAGAGACCAGCACCAACCTCTCTACAGTGTCCTTTCAAGTAGTTGTAGAGAGTGATGAGGTCTCCCCTCAGCCTCCTCTTCCTCACACTAAACAG